TCCACTGGCGCGCGATTATAGTCAATTTTGTTCGTTCGTCTATTCGTATATACACAAATTTTATCGCGCGGTTTCTTTCGAAAGTATTAATTAAAAAAAATCATATAATTAAAACCTCTCCATAACAATAATAATAATGATAAAAAAATATTTTCCTATAAGTACGTCATGATATATATATACTCGACCTATCTTTCGCGCTTCATCGTTTCTAAGAAGTTTACCTCGACTCGCGTACTTGCCGACGATCGCGATGAAACCGACTTCTACAGGGAGCACAAGAGCTTCGTGTACCTTGTCTCTCGTTTCTGATTTGTGGTTTATATGATCTATGATTTCTGGTTTTTGGTCTTTGATCTCTGATCTTTGGTTTATCTCTGCAAATTTACCTCTTTGCAATACGTTATTTCCCTAACAACCTTGTTATGTGTGAGTGGAAGGTCACTAACTTTCGCACCGTAGTCATAAAGTCATAATGTTCTTTTGATATCAATTTAAACGATCTATTTACGACATAGATTTCAAGATAAAATTCCGTTTATATAATTGCACGTGCTGCATAATTATATACACGAGTATCCCGCTATGTTTATTTGTTGTATGTATATATTTCTTATATATATATTTGTTATGTATATTTTACTTCTTTGAATGCTTTCTGTGTTTCACGATATAAAAATTATAGATAGAATTCTGTCGCGAATTTGGTGGTAAATAATAAATCATCTATGGCGGGCTTTTTACAGACCCGTAAAGTATCATTGTTCCATACATCGAGTTCGTAGATAAAAATTCATAACGATCGCGCTGCGGGTTGTCTGCGTAGATGTATAGGGATTCATCATGCCGCTCTCTAGAGCGATGCGTCCCAATGCAACCCTGTATTCTGTCGGCTGCGCGCGTAGTAATGCTGGCCTTTACACGCTCGTGCCATTGCCGTCGTCCGCGTATCGAGCACTTGCAGACAGTTCTCGATTTGCCGTGGTTAATGCATTCTCGCGAACTAGCGTGTAAATCAAATACGCACAAAACGAGAACCGATTTTGCGCGTTCGCAATACAAGCGGTTCTTGTTCGGCGCGCTTTTGATTTACGCGGCTTTGGATTTACACGATAGTTTTCGGGCATTGCATTAATGCGCGCGAGTCGAGTCGAGTCGAGTCGAGTCGGATCGAGTTAAGAGAACTGTACCAGTAACATCGCGTGCAGTTTTCATCCCTTCGAGTACATACACATATACATGATGTGACGTACGTGTGCGCAGGTGTGCGCGCGCGCACTCGCTCACCACCTCTGTACGTAGAGATCCGCATGCGCTTACACGTACACTCGTACGTGCGGCGTATGCCGATGGGTTGCGGTTTGACTCCGGTGGCTACCGGATAGGCCGCCGTTATTATCCGTAACTCGCGTTGCGGTTGGAACGGAGCAAACGCGCTCGAAAATCCTCTACCCGAGGAGTCTGCGTCAGCAACAATCTCCGTTCCGTAAGATCGTTCGTGTTCTTGAAGATCGAAAAAATTAAACGAGTATCTTTAAATCTAATACCCCTGCTGTTATACGTCTTAGATAAAGAGTTTGAATATCGTAGAGTTTGTCATCTCGCGATAAAAATCTATCTGAATTTCGGTAAATATATTTTAAAACATTTTAATTGTAAGTGAAAAATAATTTAATTGTAAAAAAATCTAATAATAAATATAATCAAAATATAATTATTTATATAAATACGTTTCGTTAGATACGAACGATTTATATAGTAACATTTTCATTTCATTTTATTTTATTAAATATCAATTCTTTGATAAGATTAATTTTTTTGTAAGATAATTTTTATATATTTACATTTTAATGAAATTCTACGTTTTCTTTTATATTTCAACTTTACACGTCTCAGTTCACATTGCTAATATACAGTAGACTCAAATCGAACCTGATAGTTACCTGTCGTAAACAGAAGTCGATTAATTCATAAATAGCTAAGGCTTCAACGACAGACCGGGCAGTTTCGTTTCAGCGTTAAGTACTAATTTAGTTTATGGTCCACCAACATTTGTTTTAAAAGCCTAACGACTGCCGGGCGCGAAGTTCTTTCCGCGTCATTAGCCAAGATTGAAAACACGGAATTACTTGTTGGCAAGAGAGAGAGAGAGAGAAAGAAAGAAAGAGAGAGGAACAGACTATACTTCTTTGCTGGGTAGATGGTGGGCGCTAAAAAATGATAATCCGATCGTTTCCACGGCGCACCGACGAAGCTTTACCGCGGGATATGCGAAAACCCACCCTAAACCCTAAACCAGGAATCTCCCTCCTTTTCTCTACGAACCGACCCCATCCTCCACGTATTCTCCCAGATCCTTTTATCAGTTTTCCCCAAGAATACGATGAAAAGGGACGAGAGCCCTCTCCGCCGAATAGTAAAATATTTCACGTTAGACCTGGGGCCCTTCCTTCCCCAAAAATTCGAGCGCATATCTTATATCGCGGAAGTACTCAACGAGGAATTTAATTCAATCGCTCACTTCCGAATGTCGATACGAGAACCTCGGACACGCATTGTGTATTTTGGCAGCATTCTTAGTACCGTGATCGTTTATCCCTCGCGAAAAGATTATTTCTCTCCCCACGTAATACATTCTCGAACAAATATATTTCTCTATAATTTCAATTTATTTATAAGTTATTACCCAATAATCTCTCATAATAAAATGTTGCAAAAGATCAACACTAACAATAAAATAATATTATTCAATTTAATTCAAGAATAGGGGAAATATAAAAGTAAATACATTTCGTAGAGCCTTGAAAATATGTTTTTTTTTTCAAATAAATTCCACAATAAAAATAAATCAATAATCTCGCTAAATACTTTCGAAACAGTAATCTTACTAATACATTTCATCATTTTATTTATACTATTTTAATTAACTTTTGACAGTGTCTACAATTTAACTCTGAAATATTCTGTTAGTTCAAAATTTTTCATCTACTCCTGTACAATTATAACAATGTTTCCAAGATACTCCAAAAATATTTTTAAATGTCTTAAATATATATTATATGTATTTTCAATTTGTGATTTCTAATCTGTGGTTTATCTCATTTTTGTCTATGATTTATGAACTTCGCTCTCTTTCTACTATTATTCTCGCATATACATTTGTGCTGCACGAGTTGTATTGCAAAATGTGACTTGTGAAATATTCTTTACCCACATTCCGCAACATTCTTTCGTTGCTTGTTGAACAGTGCAATTTGATTTTAAGTTCCGTGAATTTTCCTACGAAATACCAAGGATGGATGTGTTAGCTACAGACGGACGATTTTTAGTCGTTCTTGTTGCCCTTCGAGGATGCGGTCGACAGCATTCGAGACATGCTCTTCGAGAACCTTTATGAAATCGTGGCAAAGCATACCTGGCCCGAAAAAGCAGAGGTTGCCCGGCGCGATCAGGTATGCCGAGAATGGACTGTAGTTCTGCCAATGGGAGGGTAACGTTTTCGAAAGGTGGAGAAAAGGGATGCTTGCGAGCCACTTCGATATCTTTTTCATATCGGTCGTTGATGGTCTTTTTTTCGAGAGGGGAACATCGAGACCGGAAGCGAAAAAATAAACACAACAATATGTGATACATTTGTATCTAATATTTAAAATCCTATCGCGACGATCATTTTTTTTTTATTTCTCTTCTGTGGTCTCTCGTTTTTCTGATCTATGGTTTATATATGGTCTTTGGTCTATGATCTATGATATCTGGTCTATAATCTACAGTTTTCGGTTTCTAATCTTCGGTGTATAGTTTCTGGTCTATGAACTTTGGTTTATAGCTTCTGGTTTTCTGGTCTATAGTTTCTAGAACTTCCATAAAAATTTGCGATGCCAATAGTTGAGGTGCCAATTTCACACACACAGTTTCTGGTCCTTAATCTATGATTTATGGTTTGATTTATGCCCTGGTTTATGGTCTATGCTCTCTGTCTGCTATTATTTTCGTATCAAGAGACTTTCGCATTTTATATAATTATAATTTTATAAATTTTGAAAATATTTAATTTAACTCAAAAAGGATTTTATATCTCATTAACTTTTCATAATCAGATTTTTTTATATTATTTAATTTAAAACATTTTTTTTCGAACATAAAAGTAAATTAAAATACATTACCTCCATACATTAATTACGCAAAAGTTCGTAACAAATGTTCCTGAAGAATTTTTCCACTATAATTTCATACGATGTTCGATGTTATTAATAAAATTCTAATCGATTTGACTCTAAACATTCCGGAATGTCTTGTGCATGAATTTTTATTAATATTTTATGCATCAATTTTAATAGTAAATTTGTCGATTTAACAAAATAAAAAATTCAAATAACATTTATGAAACCGGCGAAAATAGCGCTAAATAATAGCATAAATCGATATCTGCCGCATTAAAAGCTATCGCGTAAGCATAAGAGTACTTATGCATATATTTGCGCGCTACATTATTATCCTCATTTATATGTTAAATTAATACCTCTTGTAAAGAGTTTATCCATTTGCGAAATGAAAATTTTAATAAACTCTTACATTTCTTATATTTTATCTAATTTTTCATTTTTGTGTTTGAAGAGAATTCTGAAAAATTTACCGTTTTATCGAGGATAGTTTTATTAAAAAAATTACGTACAAAATCTATTTAATAGTTTTTAATAAAATTTCCCAATATTATTGCCTGCTAGAAAAAAGATAATTTTTTCTAACATTTGTAAACTATATATATATACCTATATGTAATGAAATGAGATACACCAAGAGAGATGTCAATTTTCATAGTTCGCGGAAGATCCAACTTTGAATACGGCACTGACGCAGTAGGGTGGAAGAGCATAAGGGAGGGGAGGTCGTGCCACAAGGGTTGGGAAAGCCGAAGCGTGGCTCCTCCGAGTGGGGGGAGACGGTACCTCGAACGACTACGCGGGCCTGTCGGATGCCCCTCTGCTCAGTCCGACCCGGACGTTCGAGGGAGACGCGTCCGTCTTCCGTACACGCACTAGTCATCCGCACGTTGTGTCTCTCGCTCTCGTACGTGTTCGTAGAATTCGTATCTCGAGGCAGTTTCCGATCTGTGGTGCCTGTTTATACATCCGTATATTCGCGTGGAGAGAAAGGAAGAGAGGAGAGAGAGAGAGAGAGAGAGGAAGAAGAAGAAGAAGAAGAAGAAAAAGAAGAGTTCTGTGAACGACCTCGTGCGCGCGGTCCACGAGGCTTTCTTCGGACGAAAACGGAACACACGTTTGCTTACACACAACGTAGACGGATATTTAAACGTGTCGTCCGCGGCGGGGAGAGAGAGAAGGATACACGGGGAGGGAGGGAGAGAAAGCGAAGAAAAAGCTCTCTCTGGGCCGCCTCGCCGCCGGCTTTCCACGGCCACGAATCGATACCACGCGACCGTCGTCGTCGTCGTCGTCGTCGCTGCCGCCGCCGCCGCCGTCGTCGTCGCCGCGTCGGTTGTTCCTCTCTCTCTCCCTCTCTCGCGAACGCGTGGCTTTTCCTTCCCTCTTTTTTTTGGCTTTCTTCCCCATCGGTTGTCCCGGGGAACAAGCGGAATCGCGCCGCGCTTCCTCCGCGAGGATCGACGCGGACGGGGTGTACCGTCTCTCGAGGTGCGCGACGTTTGTTGCTCGTGGCCCATCCCCGAAAGGGGACGGTATCGGCTGTGAAAGCCTGTTCCGTGAGCGATCGCGAGTTTTTCTCTAACGAGGAAGAACGGGAGATTGCGTGCGACGAGGATCGGCGGGACGACCGGTCGGTGTGAACTTTTATAAAGTGGCGGTTCAGTGACACGTGACGCTGTCTGTTTCTTGGTGGATTCTGTGACGAACGCGACAGGTGAGATACTGCGCGAAGAGAGATCCTTCACCAACTCCTGATCGTCGTAAAAGTAAGGAAAATTGCCTATTTCACTGTTGATAGCGCAACTCTTTATATCGTGCCGTTTCTCCTCGGGACGGGAGTTCTGGAGCTAGCGAATTTACGTCCACGAGATTATCATCGCGTTGTCGACTTCTTCAGGGTTGATATATTTCAATTTGTTACGATTGTAAATTATATTTTTGGCGACCGACCAAATTGCGTCGACACCGTTCATTTAAAACTCTATGGTTTCGTTGCGATCCTTCGCGAATCCTTCGTTAAGACTCGCTAATCGCGCTACTTTTATTCGCGTGCTCGATTCAACTATCCGTAATCGCGGTGATACTAACGGCGCGAGTCGATCGCGCTAATTAACCTGTCGCCATAATTTACGGTCGAGTAACTTTGCTGCTAACATTTTTCAGTGTTGACAATTGTCTTGTCGTTTAAAAATTAAACAATTATTTGTCATAATATGTGATAATTAACATCGTGACATTTTATTTCTCTCTTCATCGGCACGACGGAGCATTTTTTTAAATTATCTTGATATTAGTTTTATTTGGTAAGAGTTTGTTTTTATTATTTTGCTATTATATTAAATAATAATTAAGATTGAATCCGATATTGGCGCTTGTTTGCAAAATGTATTTTTGTACTCTTTTGTTTTTACGAAACGGTATGTTATTATGCAGTGGATGGTGTATATTTAAATTTGAGATGTTTATTTTAATAATTTATTTTATTTTGATTGCTTTTCATCTTCAACAAATTACAGAATTTACAGTGACATTAATATATACGAAAATTAATAATTATGAATTATTGACATTTCTCTACCGTTGATTTGTGAATATTTTTTGTATACTTCTATAAAAGATGTAAAAATCATTTCAACGTCTCTCTTTTCATATCTATCTCATTTTTTCGTTGATGATAGATAAATTCAGCTAACTGGTCCATTTCCTCCAAATATCAAAAATAACAAAAATATATTCACTGCCTATATTAATTGCCTTAAATTTTACGAAATATTACAAATATTGCACGTATTTTACGTAGAGCACTTTTAATAGACAGAGTCACATGTGCTATTTTTTAAATAATTTTGTAACTCAAATTCTCGCTGGTTTTTCTCAGTTTTCCACGTTTGACACAATGTTATCATGTAAGATTCCGTATTACGGTCGCGTATAACACAGACCGAAATCTCGCGAACGAAACGTCTTGCCTTGCAATCTTTTTTCGAGAGTTTTCTCGAAAGTCCGTGGGATCTAATCGCGCCTAGATTTACGTTATTTTCGGAAGGGTAGTCACGATCCCGGAGCGAGATTTGTCCCGAGAGTAGGAGATTGGAAGCGAGAGAGATGAGTCACGGAAACGGAGATACGAGTTTCGAGAGGCAGATAGGAGGAATTCCATGGGGCGTGGACGGGATAAGTTATCCTTGCGTTTCCGCGTGTTCGTGCGCGCGCGCGCGCGCGCCGACATTATTTCGTATCTTGCAGGACACTTCGGGCAATGAGGACGTCCTACCCCGGCACGCCACCGGAATCCATAACGAGGTCTTATCAGTCTTAGTCCGACTTCCCTTCTTTTTCTCGCGTCCGTTCGTTTCTTCCCCTCAAGCCCTTCTCCGTCGTAAAGGACTCTAATGTTATCCTCTTTGTCTCTAAAATTCTTCGTCTGAAATGGAGTCCCGTTTGCGAATTCTACTCCGCTCGCATTCTTGTCTAGCATTTATACACGGCGAAAATGTTATAGTAAAAATTGCGATATTATTTTCGTATATATAGTGGAACATATAATACCAACTAAACATATAGTTTTTACGATAAATCTGAAAGGGAATGTTTTTTATATGTATAATTTGAACTACAACATTTTCTCCTTGTATATGCGATCGATGTTACGAAACACGAATTGCTTGATTTAAAGCAAAATTAAATATTCATATGGTTTATATTTTTATGATTTATATGATTTAATTGAATTAATCATATAGGACATACAAATTTTATTCTTTAATCTATCTTTATATTGTTTGCGAATGTCACTAAAGCAACTTTGTACATCGCTTAATTGCTTCATAGTGAGTTGACAATTAACTATGTTTACTAATGTATACTCCTACATTTATGTTGAAAATGGCATTATCTTGTATCGATTTACCGACATTATACGCTCGAGTCAAAGCTAAAGAAGGAAATAATTAAAACATCTTGTGTGTGTAAAGCCAGCATATCATTATTTCGTGGATGATCATAAATAATTGAGAATTTTGGTTTTATTTTCAATGATTCTAAAGTTCTTGATTTAAACAAATAGTTCTGACGATTAAATAAAAAAATATCTAAAAACAAATTAGTATCGAAGTAAAATGCCTCTCGATTTTCAAGAGTTTTACTTATTACGAAATAATTCTGGTATATTTCTGAACATGTATAATGCCTTTCCAAAAAGTTTTAATGATAAGAATAAGAATAGACAATTTTTAAAAATTATTTTATCCAAAGAACTTGTATTTTTGAATATAGAGGCGAGCTGCTGACCACATCTCATCTTTATATTCGAAAATATGAGTTTTTTGGATTTTGGATAAAATAATAACTCTCGAAATGCGTGGTCAGCAGCTCATATATCTATATTCAAAAATACGAGTTTTTAGGTAAAATAATTAAAAAAAAAATGTTTTATTTATTTTAATTATTTATAATTAATGATCTATACACAATAAAGCCAGAACTCAATTATACTAGCTTCACACGCAATAAGACGCGCGATCGGAAGCAAAATATTGAAATCGAAGAAACAGAGAAAATGCGTTTGACGTCATGCTAAAGAATACCCGGGATGAGAAAAAAGCCGGAAAGTCGCTCGGTGCCAATTAATCGAAACATTCGATTTACCGCCGTTTCTACCAAACCGTCAGCAACGAAAGTACAATACAACACGCGGCCGTTTTACAGCGCTCCGAGCGCTAATAACGAACCCCGGCGAACGATTACACGGCGTGATTTCGCGCAGATTGAACGAGTGATTAATTCTCGCGGCCAATCCTCGCTGTGTCGCTCTCTGTGGATTTGTCCTCGGCGGAATCTATCCCTCCGGGAGAGGATACTTTAATTCCGCAGTAACGGAAGAACGGTCCGGAACGGTTATTAATTCGTAGGTCTGCTTTTGCCGACCTACGAAAGGAGAGAGAAAGACGAAAGGGCGAAGAGTTCGGGATCGCGTCACGCGGCTGATTGTGAGAGGTAAACTCGTAAAAAATAACTCCGTTGTTATCGTAATCATCGCATGGTTCGTTTCGCAGCACTCCGATGGAGAATAAGAGCGAGAAAACGAGGCAGAATTCTGCATAGAAGTCATATCATTTCTATCGAACGCGATATTGCGATTCTTTCCCTGAGATCGTGTATTGAGAGCGACCTCGACTTAGATTCTTTATAGATACATTGAATCGGCTCCCTTTTAATTCATAATTATTTACGTGGTGCAAATTGTATTTTTAGAATTCGAGGAGTGAAACTGACAAATGTTGACTGCTTATCTAATATATAGAACTCAAAAATGTTTAAATAAATATTTAATATCTCTTCGATGCGACATACATATAATTATAAATCATAAATGCATTATATTATTAATTTATTGTATAATTTTCTTGGTGTTACTTAATTCTATTTTATGTCATCATTATTTTTCAAAACTAAAAATTCTCATTTCGAACAGCTGTTTTTGTGACAATTTATTGTTATCACAAGCAATTTTCAGACGTATTATTCATATTTTCTTATTTCTTATCTTATTAATTGTGTATAAAAATGGAGCAGCTTCTTTTACCTATGGAAATCCTTTGAACATTTTAAATCAATTTTTTCTTAAAGAGGATATTAGATTGTTAATAGCGCTCGAGTTAACGGATGAACTTTTGGAGGTGCAAGTAGAAAATCTTATTCTTCCATTAGTTGCAAATGCACTTTACCTTGATTAAGAATCTTACTGCGAGAGCTAGTTGCTGAGAGACTTAGTATCGCAAATTAAAAACTTGCGAAAGTAGCTAATATCCCTAATCAAATTTTTATTTCGAGAGAGGAGAAAATCAAGTTGCCGGTAGTTCAAGGTGAAAAAAATGACGGCGTCCCGCGTATGTCGCATGATCATTCTTTTATCCGATAATCGTCGATCGCCGCCGGTAGCGTCCGGTATTCGTTCGCAGATAAAATATATACGTTCGCGATTATACGCGCTAACAACAGGACGGACGACAAAAAGGGTGGGCAGCAGCGAGAGCGAGGGACTATTCTTCTGCATTGATTAATGCGCCCCGTGGAGCTCGAAACGGTCTCGCGACCCTTTCTCTTTCGCTCGATTCAGGCCGACTACTCGCTCCGCGACGACAGACTCATCTCCGATTTTATGCCTCGTTTGAGGGCACATCCCACCAGCCCTTCCCCCAAGACACCCTCGACGACACGACGACGATCCCGACCCTCCGACAACGACGACGACGACGATGACGACGGCACGAAAATCACAGACCACGAGATTCGCGACGCGGAGAGAATGGTCTATTTGGTATTTAAATAAGCGTACGTGTACGTGCACGCACTCATTGCTCGGGAAACCGTATGGGTCTATAAGTTGAACCGATATCTTTTTTCCCCCTTTTTTTTTTTTTTTTTTTTTTTTTAGCGAGACCTGAGAACTCTCGTTGAAACTTGTACATGACACTGCGAAGGTTACGATCGATCAGGGCCGCGCGAGGCTGCCGATGAGATTTTCTGTTTTATGGCAACGCCAGGGAATCCTTTCCTAAGGTATTTTGGACGAAGGTATATTGGAATAAGGCGAGAACATCTTTACGCGCAGATACCGCCCACAAGTTCTCGAGTATAGCTGTTTTGACGGAAAAATCGTCTTCGATCGAGTAATATATAAGCACGTTCGTCGCGAATTTATATATTAATTTTCAATTATATCCGGATATTAAATAGATATTTTTTTTACACTCGATAATCGCGA